GAGGCTCCTTTGCCAGCATTTATGATCCCATTAATTAAACAATTTTCCATAGCATGATTGTTGTCTTGAGCATGAACCTGTGTCTGCGATAAATCTAAAAGATAGTAGCCAGGGTTAGTGTGAAATTTGATATCAGATCTGAAAGCTTTAAAAGAAATTCGGTTTGATTCCATTTGTCTACAATTTGATGATTGAATGCTCTTAAAAGGAATTGGGAAATAATCCCAAAACAGCTTTTGAACAGAGAAATATAGAAACTTGGATTAAAATTTAACCCTAGGTTAGCACTAATCAGCCTTCGAACAAGTCTGGGCCTAGTAAAATGGCTAGAACAAAAGCATGGTATCACAGGCTTTATTCTGATAGATTGTACATAATTTAAAATTCCTCACATTATTATTACCTGAAAGTTAGTCATGTCTCCCTCTCTGACTGTCTTGATCAAATCTTGCATGTAATCAATTAAATGCAGACCAAAGGCATTTTTGGCATTGATTTTCTAAAGAGAATCAGTGGCATCTTCCAATAAGTTGAACACATGAAGTCCTTAACAATTAAATTTGATTTGAGTTATCAGGATGGCTTACAGGGTTCTCAACAAGTCAAGGAGTAAATGGCTTGGTGCATAAAGTAGACAGCTGAAAATTCCATAGTTAGATCCCTGGGTCTTGGGGCATGTTCCCCCACAAAGTTAAATTTTTTAAATGAAGAGGCTCTGAAATGCTGTTGGAGGTATTATACGCAAACCAGTATGGTGGTTGGTTGGTTAGGTAAACACACCCCTGGTAGAGATTGGAAGAGTGCTCAACCACTGAAGAAATGTAAAAGCATAATTATGTTTTAGTGAAATGCAAAAGTAGATTCCAAGAAAATTGCCTGTTCATGAAATTTTTTGTAGCAGTGACTTGTTCTAATTTTCAGTAACAGTTTCATGTTCACAACTTACCTGTATTATCTTACAAGAAGTGACTCAGAAATCAAGCAAGCCAGATTTTTCAGCAAGCGGCTGCTGCTAAGTAAGAACCCTGGGCTTCTGACTGAAATCTCTGCTACAAAAATTTGCCTTATAGTACACTCTTGATAGGATTGCTCAGGAAGAATGATTGACACCTCAACTTAATACATATCATATATTTATGTTTCATGCTAAACGATTGTCATGTACGAATAAATCCCATTACATCTCAAATATTCCTGAAGTTGAGGCATACTTACATTCTCGGTTGACAACTTTATGCAGTTTGAATACAAGTCTTTCAGCTGAACATTAGTCAAACCATTGCTGCCTGTGGTCTGGCCCCTGAGAAACCACAGAAGAAAGAGGATATTTGAGGGCAGTGTACAATGAAAAGCAAGCTAGTTATTCTCAGCTATTGGACAGGACCAAGCTGCCAACCTTGATGAAATGTTTTCATGACATCTGTATTGTTATGCATAAAGTTAAACATAGACTATGCCCAAGCCCAAGTAGCATTTGCAATATTTTCAATGAACATAACTCCATGCAGGTACAATTTGAGGTAGGTAGGTAGGTATAATTTATCATGGTATTTACAAAAAGGTAACCATTTCATTATGGAAGTGGAATTAGAAGCTTGCTTAAAAATAACGTCAAAACTTCCTACATATTCATCGACGAAAACGAACAATTAAGCTAAAATAGTTTAGCACCTTTCGCTGTCAAGACGAGAAGCACTTCTTGGTGTAGCGGGGCTTTGAAGGGTGGCAGATGTCCCCTTAGATAGACGCCTCTGCTTTCTTTCTGCAGCGTCGTCGTTTTCTCTTAAGTGTGTTGGAGGAGTGTTGGTACTTGTTAAGGCAATTGCACGACGTCGTCTCGCATTTGGAGAGATTAAGTCTGGTGTTCGAAACGGTGAAGCGACGGCCGCCATGTTTGTTGAAGTTCAAGATCCTTTTAAATAACTCAGACGATTTGATTCCTCAGTGCTTCTCGTCGATTTAAATGAAAAAATGATGTCCCCATCAAATGGTACGAATTGGTTGAGAATAAACTGTCCGATAAATGTTTGAGGTTTTTAACTGAATGCAGCAAATTATACTTTTCATATCTTGGCGCCCAAACAAACCGTTCTCAAACGACCACGTGACTTGAGAAACAAAGGCAGCCACCCTCCCCCTCCCTGTGACAATACAACTGAAAGATGGCTGGTTTCGTGACGGCGAATCGCTGGGCAACGGGCGTTGAAACTCACAAAACTTCAGAGGGAAGGATTTTGTGTACGGGAGTCGGCTGTGTAGGATGTTTTCCTGATGTGTATTTGAAAGAGGCTGAGGAACTTGGGGTCTGCGACGTTGATCTTCCGAGTGGCATTTTAGGCCTTCGGCCTTTCTTAGACGAAGAAAGTTCCCGGGAAAACTCGAAAAAGGGGAAACATTTGTCCAAGAGACGGAAGAGGATGAAAACAAAGTCAAGGGTCAAAACAGAGACAAATTTCAAGGAGAAAGAGTCCGTTGAGGAAGATCTGGGAGGATTCGAAATTTCCGGAGACAAATCTGGAGGAGCTTTACCTTCGGAAGTATCCAAAATATGTTCAACTGGGACGCAGACGGAAACGTCCAGTGCAGGCATTGATTCTCAAATTAAACTTTCAGAAAACTTCAGGGACCGATCCAAACAATATGAACACTCCTTTCAAGAAGAAAACCACTCCGACACACAGCTACACCTGTCTGATTATCAGAGACAAGTTGGTGCTAATCGTAGCATTGTCGAAGTTGACGACAATGTAAACACAACACACAGGAATGTACAGGGTTTGTTTAATTATCCATTCTTCTCGAGATTCGACAAAATCCATGATGAAATGTATATTGTGAGTAGGAAAGACATCGCACTTAACACTTCTGATGATCATTTTCCTTCGAAAGACAATATTGCGATGAAAAAGAAGCTAAATAACGGCGAGATCACGACAGACAGAGAGGATGCAGTGTGCTTTTTCTTCGCTTTAGAGTACTACAACAGGCAGAGAATTTTACCAGATTTCAGGGTTATGGAAATCGTGGAGGCACTCATTGAAATGGTGGATATCAAGGACATAAAGTGTGTTCTAAGAATTTCTTGTCGGTGGCATATTGTGATAAAAACTCGAAAATACATCCAAATGTTAAGACACTCAGGACTGAAGTTAAGAGGAAGGGTGTATAAACTTGTGGATGACACGGATGCCTATTTTGATGTAGTTCAATAAAATGCGAAAGTAGTGTCTTATGGCTCGAGTGAGGATTCCCAATGACCTGACTGAGTCATTTTGAATCATGATTATTACGAAGCAAGGTTAGGCTGCCATGGCAACATTTATGTCTTCGAAGGCAGTCGCGAGTCTCTCGCTTCTTCCTGAAAAGGTATAGTGTAAGCAGAATGTTATGTATTCAAATTCAGATGATTCTTGATTGGTGAAGTAATCAATAACCAGGATTAAAAAAAAAAGAACTCTTTTTAAGCGGCACTCTCGGATCCAAAGATAGTCCAACAATTGTTACTTTCAACGATTGGTGTTTCAAAGCAGAGCAAATGAAGGTGCTAGAAAATGGCTCCGCTGCTCTTTATAGTAGCCCTCCCACTCAGAACTACGAGAAGAACACACAAGCTATCATCAATGAGTTCTAGTATATCTTAAGTTTGCACAATCAGAATGACATTACCGCAGAACGCAGAGGAACTGTAAAGGTCTCTTTGAGGTGGTGGGCGAGGGACAAAGCTAAGAGCTTTCAAAAATGAGGTGGAACAACCCTATGTTTTTCAGCTTGAATGACATCCACAACAGCCTCCTTAAAGGCTGTGTCCCAGCTGAGACTCTGACCAAACTAGCAGGCAAATAAAGTCATGAAACAAAATTTAATATACAGTTTTGGTATACTAAACCAAGAGATACAAAAATTTGAAACGACAGCATGCACGTATTATGTACAACACACGTTAGAACAAGCACTCAAAATTACCATACAGCAAAGTTTATTACATAATCTTAATGAAATTGAACTTTAAAGATAATTATCACATGTACTTGTTTCAACGATTGACTTTAATCTACCTAAGACTAAAGATTTTTCAGCTAAGTTAGAACCAACTCACAAGAAAGCTCACCACTGTTATTTATCATACTTTTGAATAGAAATAAGAAAAATGGCAGGAAAAAAATTATCATTCGATACTTTTAACACAGAACTTTCATCTGTTGTCAATTCTACAAAAGTAACAGCAAAAACTATTTGTTTGGAAGTACACCAATGAGACAAGAGGTGAGCTTTCTGCCTGGAGAGATAAATAAATTAAAGTTTAGAACTTATCACCACAAAAACAACAAGATAACCAAATGTAAGAACAAACACTACTTTACCCATAAAATTTAAATATTTTTAAAATTTGTCACAGTAAAGAATACGAAGATAAGCCAAGAAAAAAATTTCAAAACATCATTAGTCACTAATTTTCACACTAGCCACAACAGAAACTTGTGATGTACAGTTTGTTCACGTACAATGCTTACTAAGTAATTATAGGCTTAAATGTTTCACCTAGCTTATAATTATGTTACAATGTGTAACAGTATTCTGCAAAAATACATACCTTTTCAAATGTTCTCATTTCCATGGAACATTTCACAAAGACAATTAACCAAAGTGTCTACAGGTCAGTGTGTCAGGGGGCAAACTCAGTGATTTTGGAAGTTTCGAGAGTGTTACAGCAGGAGGTCCAATTCATTTTATGAGGGCAAGGAAAGAGAAAAAAAGTTGTTTAACATATCACAGGTGTTTTTTAGCAAGACAATTCCCACGTAGCTTAAAGGTCTCTGTCAACTGAGGTAAAAAAATGAACACGAAAATTACAATAGCTCATGCCTATATCTAACAATGAAATACTTGAGCATAGGAAATTATGGTGGGGAGATGGAAATATTATAGATAGGCCACTGAAGCCCTGAATTGATTATTGAAAATCAGAATAGTTTACAACAGACCTGGCAGCATGTGATTGACCTTGCCCAGCAATGCCAGTTTATCAAACTGAAAGTATCAAGTGACACAGCACTCTTCTAAAATCAATTACTAGAATAATTTATAAACTGTTATATTCTACCTGTACATGCAGCCCAATGGGCATTATTCCCTTAATTGAAACAGTGAACTAAACAGTATTAGCGACATGCCACTATTAAGCTTTTCATGAAGATTTACCCTTATGTGACTCTCTACAAGCGTTAGCATAAGCACCATTACGTGATTGGACTACTGTGCCATAAATTATTTACACCTATCTTTATCATCAAGGGTTTCCAATTTTTGTACAAATATATGATAAACAAAGGGCTAGGGGTAGCTTACATGTATAAGCCGGTCATCTTAAAGGGGTGACAGTTGTTTTTCCATTTTGGTCTGGAGTGTAATTAAGGAAATCCCACATGAGTATCGTATCATCATGGGAACTGCTGACTATCTGGAAATCATCGAACTGAAGTCTGAATACTCTTCCATTGTGCTCCTGTTGAGAAAATTGAACAGAGTTAAATACAGCTATCTCTCGAAGGAGCTGCCATGTTCCAGACCACCATTTGATGTCTGTACCAACAAAATCTACACAGCACGACCAGATAGAAACACTGGGTTTATTTTTGGTTGTGAACTGTAATGTACTGTGTATACTTCAACACTGATAACTAATTTCTTCTAATTTTTAGTTCAAATTTACTCTCATGTGATACAAAATGGATGCAAAATGGTTTAATATACTGTTCAAACTTTAACACCCTTCGACAACTGAAAGCAAATTAGTCATTCAACACATCAATTTTTTGGAAGGGTAAAAAAGTTAGTTACAGACCACATAAAAGTGATCTGCAATTCGTTAATGGCCTGCATCATCTCTAAAAGTAATCTGCAATTCATTAATGGCCTGCATCATCTCCATAAATTTCTATGTCGTTTTGACCAGGGATTTAACAATTATCTGTCCATAAAAGCAGAGTGTCCCTAATAGCATGGAGTCTGAGGTGAAAGTGTTGATTATATGCTGAAATGCCGTATCTGGATACAAGAAAAGGTGCAAGATGTATTGATAACATAATACGGTGACTTACAACAAGAGTTCTGAGACACAGTGTTCCAGCTGGGGCCCTTGGATCTAAAGCAGCTTGAAGATCCCAAACTTTGATTTTCCTGTTAATGGAAATAGACTGGGTATTTCATGACTGATAAAACAACACTTTGAGTACAGGAGTGTCAAGACTCTTCACTTTTTCCTCCATTAGAACAATCAAGCATGTCCATTTCAATATCCAACTAAATGCCTGATGTAGATTAATTCTCCACTAAAAAAAGAGCTTTAAAAAACCATTAAAAACTGCAATTTCTAACTGTAATGTAATGAATACAGTTAAGCAAACCCTCCACATAAATGCAGACTGATAACAAAGCTTTTCAACCCTTCCTGACCTCCATTATGTAAAGCATTTCTGCCAAAGATACTTGTTACTTCTTCATTTTATCAGACACAATGTGGATGATAAACATTTTATCCTTTTCGAGGGTGAATGGAGAACCTTTGTTGTATTTCATCTGGTATACCGAGGACAGGGCCTAAATACTTCTCGTTTTCCTTGTTTCTGAAGTTAGAGATAGGAACAGTTACCTACCCATCATAAGCTCCACTGACTATCCTTTTGTTGTCAAACCGGATACACCTGAAAACAAAACATTTAATATGACAAAATTTAGTCCATTCTTTCCATCGAACTTTGTTGTTTGGTTAACCCTTCAAATCCTAAGATGCAATTGTTAATTCTCCCTTCTGCCTAATAAGTTTGAGTAATTTCATTACTTGATGGATAATGTATGAATATTGTACAGAGAAGTTACAAGTTAATCACTTCTTTAAACACTTCTTCTTTACCAGTCCTTAAAAGATTATGGACTGGTTTTAAGACAAAATTCTACAGAGAAACTTTATTACCTGACTAATTCCTCATGGCCCTCTAGGACTCTAAGACAGGCTCCACATTCAATGTCCCATAATCTGTTGTAAAGAATAAATTGATGTCAGATTTGCCAGACACAAGAAATACACAATGAGTTATGTTATTTTTTATTTGGTCTATCAAAAGGCCTCTGACCATCATACCATCATATGAAATGTTAAAACATTAACAATAATAATAATAATAATAATAATAATAATAATAATAATAATAATAATAATAATAATAATAATAAAACCTAATCAGCTTTTTAATCACCTTATGGTATTATCTGAAGACCCACTAACAACCAAACGATCACGATATTGTAGACATGCTATGCCACGTTTATGTCCATTCAAGGTTCTCACAAATTCACAAGTGGAGGTGCTCCAAACCTGCAGCAAAATTAATACTGTGAGCACAAAAAGAACGTCAATTTTATCCTTAAGAGTTACCCAACAGTTCTCTGATACCCAGGTCACATCTTTATACAGTAAGTAGTTCAAATTAAGTCTAGGTAATCAAAATACTTATACAAATTCATTAGTCACCAAGGTTTGAGAAAGTCTCTTTGTCAAGAAAACAAATTGATCTACATGTACTTCCTCAAGCACAAATGAATATCTTGGAAGTATTGTAAATTGTTGATCACTTCAGATTGACCCATTATATCTCTTAAGTAAGTGCAGTGACTTATCTTTTTTATTACATTTTTTGGAACAGATATTGGTAGGGAACATTTAGGGAAAGTTAAAAAAAAATTATTGGATATTTTTTCTGAGGAACAACCTTAAGTTAACAAAGTAACATGTAGCAATATGCATAGTGGAAAAATAAAGGGAATTTGCTGAGTTAAGAAGTACTGTATAAGACAGTTGCCCAAGCTAAAAAAAAAAGAAAGAAAAACATTCCTGCTGAGTCTACCACAGCAGCCTTTTTAAAAGGACCTTCTTAGACCAGACCTTCCACCAGATAACAAATTTTTAAATGGTCAACACTAGAAATAGTTTCACTGATACCTTTATTGTTCTATCTCCAGATGCAGACACAATGTACTTATCATCAAAGTCCACCACATTCACAGCTGCTCTGTGACCAACCAAAACTCTTCTCAAGTTTATGTCAGTGGGAGACTGCATATCCCACACTGCTATGGAGCGATCCTATCAAGATCACCATGAAATGTTTTCAGTTTAAAGCAAACATTGCACAGATCAGAATAATTTCCCCACCAGAGATAAGCAACTATTACCTGTGTTGTTGTGTGTTTTCTTTATAATACTTACGCAAAAAGTGCTTTACTGACCAAACTGAAAATGTTTGTTCAGTTTCACAGCATGGTCTTATCACAAGTGGCTCATTCAAAAAACAAAAATAATAATAATAATACAATGTATTTACATCATGTGCACATGCCACATGTTCTTGAAGAAGCACCTGGACATTCGTTTACAATATGAGCCAAAGCCAAAGGTAGAGAGAGTGTTTAATGCTTGCAAGAATACTTGCTGCATTTGGTTTTGGTTTCCCTGAGTTCAACTCCTTGGCTACACTTTGTATGTAGCCCACTAGTCTGCCACCTGCAAGTCAGGGTTCTTAAACACTATAAGTTTACATCAATTTACAATGACTTGTTTATTCCCAATTTGCTTAATGTGAGGGTCACAAGATAATCAGTTTGTAACTGTTCAGTGTTACCCTAGGTAGATAAGGGTTTGTTTTAAATGACTATGGTTAAAAGGAGGGTGCTTCATCGAGCTAATGCTATTTTGGTCATGGGGTGGGTGTTTCTATAGTATTTTTAAGTGATGTCACAGCTATTGAAATTTTCCTGCAAAAACTAGCCACCACTGTACTGGTGTCCCTTTGCTGATAGAGTCTCTGGTGATTTTCATTACAAGAGATGTCTCTGGGGGAAGGTAGACCCCCCAGTTGTCTAAATATGCAATTATCCTTGAATCTCTTGTACTGGGTGGCTCTTCTTGTCCACTGTTTCCAGATCAAATTGGAATTTGGAATGTTGGTTTTTGCAGAGCGAGGAAAACCAGGGGACCCGGAGAAAAACCCTCCAGGCAAGGACAACAACCAACAACAAACTCAACCCACATGTGATGCCAGGTGCGGGAATCAAACTCAGGCCACAGCGGAGAGAGGCAGGTGCTCTCACCACTGTACCATCCCTGCTACCCAAGAAATGACCAGCTTACCCTTTCTTTCATGGGGCACCAATATGGTGGATGGTAAGGTTGCTTGGAAACGAGTCGAGTGAGTGAAAACACTCCATTGGGATAGTGGGGAGTGTTTCTTCATTCTATGATGGCAATCACTGATAATTTCATTACAGTACCTTTGAACAGGTCACCATCATGCCTTCTTGGAATCGAAGATGAAGCACAGCTTCACAGTGATGGATTAAGGTGTTCAACATTTCTCCAGTGTGGACATTCCATACCCTGCATATTAAACAACAGAACTATATGAATATATACAGATATGCTGCATGTGCCAGCTCAGAAAGATGACAGCAAGATAAGGGGTCATATTCACTAATTTCACCACTTGAGCTTTACAAAAACTGTGACCAGCATGCATCATTTAAGCAAAAAATCATTCAATGATTATAATTGTGCTGTCACTCTGTTTTACTGCCCCTGTTTCAGATTCTACAACTATCCATGCTACTTTGGTGGTTTCCAATTATTAAATGACTTTACCCAAAGATTTCTCTAATAAGTCGACAGCCATTCAAGCATCTCAATTCTCCTACTTTTATGGCATTTCTTATTCAGTTCAGCTTTTAACCATGATGCTCCTTCAACAATTCTCTAATTACATGTAGATGATTTTTGAATAAATGAAATTATTCTATCGATTAACCTAATTCTCTGAAAATGGCAAGAGAATCAGGTATACATCCCATCAGCTCTCTCCACATGAACATATCATCACTTTTTCTGCCTGAACTAATTTAAAGTCTACATATTTCGCTACTACAAAACTCCTTACCTGACCTTCCAGTATGACAATATTATATAATAAGAAACTAACTTTGACTGTTATTAACCTTACATGCAAGTAGTCACCATAAAAGATTTCAAGTTTCAAACCTCCCTTTTCCAAATAATGTTAGACAAAGTAAGAAGAGCATATGCATGCATGTAACTTCCCTTGAATTCTAACTAGACCGGGTGGGTGTCATGACATACCTTACTGTGGAATCACTTGATCCTGTGACTATGACATTCTCATCATACTGAAGACACAGTACAGATCCAGTGTGACCTGTAAGAACTTTGACACATTCTAATGTGTTTTTATCCCATATCTACAAAGTGAGAAAGGTACATCACCACTTTAATTTCCAGTGGATATTGATAAATTAATTTCTCCCTTCATCACTATGTTAATTTCATGAACATTTTAACAAGGGAATGGCTTTGTTGAATTGACTGTTATTTAAAAATCAAATGGCAAGTAAATCATTAAATATTAAGTAACAATAAGGATACAAAGTTACTGTGAGGTACCATCAATCAACTAAAACATCGGCCCTCAATTTGCATACCTTAATTGTATTATCTCGAAGTCCACTAACTATTTTCTGGTCATCATATTGCAGACAATAGACACCTTTGCTATTCTCACTGTGGCACAGAATGCGGTGAAGAACATGACTACCACAACGCCAATTTGTGTCGATTGTCTAGAATAAATAAAAGACAAATGTTATGCTGAAGATTCCAGAACAATGATTTGAGTTAGTTCAAAATGGTATGTTTCTTTTCTCAATTTTTGACAATTTAGGATGGCTTTGAAACAATATGCAAATTATTCTAAAACTACCGTACTTATTCGTCTATAAGCCGAACTCGGCTATAAGCACAGACCCTAAACTTCAGTCCGTTTTTAATTGGGAAGGTTCTTAAAACATGTAAATTGAAAATACTTGGCTATAAGCCGAGACCATATTCAGAGAATTCCATTCTCGAACAAACTGAAATGAACACAAAAGTTTCAAAACAGAAAAGACTTTCAATGCAGTATTGCCGTCGAAAACAATTCCAAGATAACCAGAGAATAAGTCATCAGTGAGTCGCTAGAGGAAAGATCAAGAGAACCTCTTTAATGGAGAGCTTGAGATGTCAGCGAAATGCACGACGATGGGCCGTTACACTCCAAAATATCTGCGGCTGGATGAGAGATTACTTGACTGGTTTACAGAGCAGAGAAGCCAAGGTAAGTTTTCTTTTTAGGTGATGGCAAATTTCAACACCATAACACATGATGAGTTTGTTTACCAATTGTGGGACTGGGCAATTCTGATTGGTCAGTTTCAAAATTTTTAAAACACTTTTGCAAGATCGATACACTCGTTCAAAACCAGAGGAGTCTCTATCGCTCTAGATGGCACAGAAGATCAAGGAATCTACTCGCAATAAACAGCAGAACTAGTGGATAAGGAGGAGATGGACGACAAATTCCATGCCAACATTGAGGACAAACAGTAAGCCATATTTACTATGCGCCGAAAACAACAAACTACTCCTTTGGAAACAACCACATAAATAAAGTCAATGACCAACTGCAACTTGTTTTGTTAGTTACTTCTGCATGCAATATCTTGGCTTATAGACAAATATATCTGTTTCCTTTGAATTTGCTGTTTCGAAAAAATCACGTTTGGAAAAACACTTGGCTGTAAGCCGAGAAACCTTCTCTAGCTCAAATTTTCGAGATTTTGGTAAAGTTTTGTGAAAAAATTGCTCGGCTTATAGATGAATAAATACAGCATGTATAAAGATGAATTGTGAGATAATGATTACCATTAACAATAAGTAATGTGGGCATTAAAATAAAAGGTGCTTGTTTTCAAGTTATATCAAGGCAGTGCTCTAAAGAAAATTGAATGGAGCCCAGTGCTCTGAAATTGTGAAATCCAGGGTGCCCAGCATATGCTTTGTATGAAAAAACTAAAATTCTTGTCTGAGTAGCCCAAGAGCAAAAGTAAGGCGCCAGGGGCGACCAGGCACTGCTAGACCACAGCCTTGTTATATGCACAGAGAGCTAGAATTGAGGGTACTTCTTGGAGCATGTAGTGTTACTATTGATAGTAATGTTACATGCTGGAAAATTTGAACATGCTCAGAAATCAGTTTAAAAGGGTGGCATAAAAATGTGTGGTAGTATCAATGTGTCAAAATTGAACTTCAACATTACACATATCCAAATCATTTCAGAGCTACCTGAAGTTTTATGCTCAAATTTAATTGTCAGTTGAATTACTTAATCACATTTTATGTAACAATTACCTCAAGTTCTTCAATAACTTTTGGATACAGTCTTCTAAAGGAAGCATTGTCAGGAAGCTCTGGTACTTGGGCTTTGAATAAATACTGGCCCCTAAGGACACACATCAAAACTGTAAGTCTTCTAACAAACAAACAGAAAGTGATACCACATCTAACGCATTGAAACTGATTCCAGGTGAGCATATTGAAACAAATAGTGATACATTTTGATTGCTAAAGTTTCTCCGGAAGAGGAGACTTAAGTGTACAAGATGTCTCCTGTACACACTTTGCTGAGGAGACATCTTTGAAGCAAAGTGACAACACATGCCTCCTACTGCTGTGGCTCAGGGTTGCCAGCTGGGATACAGGTGTGCCACCCAGTGCTTTCAATAAGATTTGAAATAGGTAACTACCTTGGTACAGCACCCTCTCAAGAGTAATTTGAGAAGCCCAGAACAATTTCTCTCCAGAGAGAAAGTTTACAAAGTGTGATCTTTATAAAGGTTGTTTTACCTTTTTCGAGGAAAATAAGTAATATGTAAACCACGGAGAAATCGTCATTGTGTTGTCAGTGAAACACATGAGGCCATGACGGAGTTTATTTTCTGTTTAAGTCGGCAATCAAAACTTTTAAATAATAGAATTTCACCAGTAAGAATTACAGTGTTAAGACAGACAACAAACTTATGTCATACAACAACAAACATATGAAACATATGTGTGAACTGCGGTTATGAGACGTATATGAGCACGATCCTTCGCAGTAAAGCACTATNATTCCCAACAGAATACCAGCCGGAGCTCCAGCAGGTGCTAGGTCTTATTGAAAGCACTGGCTGCCTCTAATTTACCCAGCAATTACTTGGTTAAGAGGAACAAACAAGGTGATGCATGCACAGCTGTTGGATGCTGAAACCCATCTCCGTAATGTTTGGAAAAAAAAAAAGGCCTTGCTGAGAAGGGGAAGCAAATAATGGGTACATGTATGTAATTTTGATTCAGGATCACTCCTTGAGCTAGCTCATTGTAATCTTGACAAGCAGACTATATATACACTTAGCTACAATCCTAGTAGCCTATATGTAACTCCTAAACCTCATGTCTCAAATGGAATCAGTAGGTAACCAATCATTCTTTAGATTGCTAGGTGTAAGCAAGTTAAAACCTTTATTCACACAAGATGTGGATTAAAGCTCAGCAACTGGTGGGGCTTTATTAAATTATTAAATCTTACATACCATCCCCTTCTTTCTGACAATCCTCTCCACAAAGGATCAGTTCGCACTTTCCTTTCAATGAGTTTTTTCCATAGCATACCATCTGAAATCACTCTGTACCACTCCTTGCAAACCCGTTCTGCTGCACACAAGGACTCTGCATCCAAGTAAGACAAAATCTTTTCGGCTATATGGTCCAAACCTTTAGCTGTGTGGCAGAAATGAGAGAAAAGCTTTTTACCTCGAAACTGCAACTTATCACCCTCTCAGTTTTGATAATGACCAGTATTTTTAATAAATCAAATTATACAAAGTTATGTAAGGTCATAATGTATTTCAATTTGACGACCTTCCTGTAAATCTGTAACTTTCAACATGGAAAAGGGAAAAAGAAACCAGATTTGCATAAAAGACATTGCCAAATACATGCCTGTGTTCAGAACACCTTGAAAGAACTAATAACAAGAAATAAATATGGCTCATGTTTTTCAAAACAAGAGAATTGAATTAAGAGAAAAACTAAAATTGAAATCAAACAATGAAGTGTGTGGAGTTAAAGATGCAATCTTGGGGTAATTTACTCCAATTTCTTAAATCCACCCCTTTTAATTTATTATCACTTGACTGGGGAAAAACATAAAACAAGTTAGATAACAACGAGATGTGCACGACCGGTTGAAAAATAAAGTTTGGATATAATAAATATATATCGTGATTTCAAGGTCGTGTTTAGCAAAATCCTTAACCTGTGAAAACTATTCATTTAATTTTTTGGGTGCAATATTTCTTGGGTACGTCAGGGCTAAATCTCGTATAAACATTCCCCAGAAATCGCGAAAACAATTTCCAATAGATTGTGAGGCGCACAAGCAAGCTATAAACATGGCTAGTCGAATATAGTTTGACACAAAATACGCCACAGCACCGATATTGGTTTCCCACGATATTGGGATATTTCCTTTACAAGACGAAAAACTACTTCACTGTTGTCAAAAGGACCCGACAAAAATGGTAAATACTCTATAATCAACACTTCGGTTTTGTAAGTAACTATGATACAACAGCAGTGCTTCGAAAACAACCCAATGGAATTGTCTAGAATCGCCTGAATGTTCTCCGTTTGGTGAAACCAATTCGAATACATCCTTGTTCAACGTGGTAATACTCGCTTAGGCCTGTCACGAAGACAAAAGTGACCCTGCCCAAGCACAAAAAGATATAATCAACTTACCAGGCAGAGCGGTTATAAAATCTCTCTGTAGCATTGGCTTTAGATACGAATTTATGTGTCCATGTTGGTAATGACACATTTTCGAGAGTAAAAATTCGACAAATTCGACTTGTTGGGTTTCTGACCATTTTTCGAAATGCTTAGCACAGGCTTGACTTTGTTCAATGAAAACTTCTCGGCTTCTTTCGCTTTCCTTCTCCCTTGATTTTTCGTCTTCGCCATCGATAACCATCACCTAGGCGAAAATGATATTTCAAATCAAACATAACGAAAAGTTAAGGGTTAAAGGAGAAGAACCTGCCAAGCAGCTTTCAATCTCTTTCTTACACTGTCTTCCTCGAAGCCGTAATCAATCATTTCGTCCTCCATGGCTGTAGAATACCGAACTTTGTTGGAAGTCCCAAAAAAATCTTTCTTCCTTCTGTTTGATAGCGAACCTTCCAGAGTCACATCGTGACATCACGAAAATCTCATTACGCATGAGCAGTCTAAAACGATAACTCTCTCCAGATCGCTGAATCCCTCGGCCGGAAACGAACGCTCCGAGGGAGACACCCCGAGGAAAACGACTAAAAGGGATCGCTTCCTGTTTATCGCGATGTTCTAAAGATATAATACGTACAAAAAAAAAATGCTTCTTTAAAATTATCTCGTCTTGTGGTGCAATTAAGCATCGATAGTTAAGCTTTTACAGGAATGAAAATTGCGTGTTAGAGTGGACATACCGGCAACAGGATTAAAATTTACGCATACTGTGCCTGAAAAAACTTGTCTGACCGATTGAAAAGCGAGGTAGTATTTCTAGATAACCAAGACCAAACATAATTAATCGAATAGGGAACTGACCAGTCGTAATTAATCGAAAAGGGAACTGACCAGTCGACCGTGAGAAACCCTTATAGACACCTTATGTTCTTTAAAAAAGATAAATAATAAATTAATAAATAAATTAAATAAAACAGCTGACCCTTCCTTTCATGCAAATAATCAAGATCAGGAAATCATTTTGGATAGCCGAGCGATGAAATACGGTTTTGATTGATGAGTAACCCAGGGACGGCAAAGCCTTTTTTTTCAACTGACGGGGCTTGAAAACGAGCGCCGAGGTACGATCTACGAGTTTGTAGGTGGGTCTGTCGCCAATCCCCCCTCCCTCTAAGAAAATTCTTTTGAAATTTATTTTTCATACTAACCTCATGCTAACACAAAATGAAAAGTCGTCCTCGCAAAAAGTGGGAGACTAAAACTACCCCTTCCCTGTCCCCCTAAACTCTGTCGTCCCGTACTTAGTGAAAACAGGAGCGGAATATAATAATATTAGACCAACAACCTAATAACAACCTAATATTAGACCAACAACCTCATAAACGCGGTTTTATCTCATTTCCAGTTTTTATCAAGAACCTTTTAAACAAACAAGACCGAAACATTTTGAAGAAACTAAAATCAACGGATTACCACCCCCTGAAAGACATCATTCCTGTCCAAAAGACATATGTACACAATCTTAGGAAAAAAGGCTGCGCGCGCCCGAAAATTAATACACAGCGCTTTATGAACACCTTTGTAAATAGGTTGATATTTAAGCTCCATTTATTGTAATGACATACTTTTTAATTCATAATATGTATGTAGATTTCTGTAGTTTTTCCAATTCATTGTAACATAAGATATGTAGTTTTATCTTATGATGGAATAAAGACTTTATTATTATTATTATTATTATTATTATTATCGTATGAACTGTATTTATCACGTTATTCACGTATTGACTTGATCGTCTCCTTTTCAAGTGCATGTTATTCTGAAAGCTGACAGTTGACGTACAAAAAAAACCGGCATCCGATCTTTTGGTCACACTCAGGAAACACGTTTGTCTTATTAACGGCACACTGCATTCCGAATCAAAAGATGCTAACACTTTACTCCACAGAGGCTCACTCTTTCTGCTCCCAGAAATAAAAAGGAGCGGGAACCTGAAAAAAATGTTGGGTTGCAATTTGTGATCCTATGGCCACCCGAAGAAGAATAGTACTTTTTTCATACCAAGTGTTTCTTGCATTACTTTGGACGGCTGTAAAAGTTAACGATCATCATATTAGCGTATCCGTGGGGTGACTCAGTAAAGTATTTTTGTAAAGGAAATTTTGTTTTTAGTATTCGCCTTCAAACCTGAATAATTGAAAGAAAGGATACTTTCTCATCTCGTCTTGAACTCTCTGCTTCTGTTCTTCAGTCCATGCGACTGATGTTCTTGTAATAGACGGTTTGCCATATAGGATACTTTCAGCTTGTTGAAGATAATCCCCACTGCAAGTGACACCAAGAAAGGTACATACTTCCAGCATTGTTTCTTTAGGTTTGGATATCAGTTCGTGGCTTAAAATATCCAATACCGTGGCATTGCCATAAGTTAGTCGAATTTTTTCATTTGTCTCAACCAGTTCGAAGAAAGACTTTATAAAACCATCAAGCGCTGCTGGTTTATTTACCTGTGTGATAAACACATGGTGATGCAATATATTTCGTTGCAAGGTTGAGAGAATGGAGATAGAACAAACATCAATTTTATCAGTAAATCAGCAATTTGGATTGTAAGATTAGCAAATCGTGTGATATTGTAGTCTGATCGTCCGGGTGAGTGTTATGCTGAGAGGGACTTCTGTCTGTGTTAGTGACTAATGTTTCGGGGGTGGATTGAAGGGCACAGTTACGAGTTTATGCGCGAGAACTGGGTTATACCATTTTTCATCTTATACATCAGCAGGCTCGTATTCATGCGGTGAGGAGAACCGGAAAATGAAATATCTGTAAACTGACTTATGCCATGAATTATCTTCGAATTTGCGCGTTTTCAATAACCTGGACAATAAGTTTGGTTGTGATAACTACTGTAGAGATAATAATGTTAGTCTTGACAACTGAAAGAAATGATCTGATATTAAGGGGAAGGTTTGTGGCTTCCTAGGACCAACATTAGGCCTATAATCAACGTAATAAAGATAAACGTCTTTACAGTATCAAGTTATTTTGAGCACTACAGATTATTCTCTGCTTTCCGTAACTTATACTTTGAAATTTAAAGTCATAGCAAGAGGTGAAATGCGCTGGCATCGAGGGACTGTTCCCTTACAAGGGTGCTTTACATGCTATGCAAATGAACTTTAATCGGCAGAAGAATTAAGACCTCACCTTAGGTAATCCATCGCTCACTTTGAGTCTTAAATTGAAAAGCCTTAGTAACCAGGTGGAAATGACGTCATAAGGATTTCTGACGACGTGAAGAAACCTTAAAGAAATGCTAAGCGATTCATTGAGTTCTTTAAGAGCAGCAAACTTTTCAGGTTTTTCAGTTAGTTCCATTGTTGTTCCACCTCCTTTCTTGTCTCCAATAACCTACACGTCGATTCATAACATGATATATTATCTGAAGATATATCCTGGATGTACATTTTAATGCGTTTTGTTTCGCTTTCATCTGACAGCTAGATAGTTTTCACGGTAGATAGAGGTAATTAGCTTCGTTTCTGAGCTTAAAAACCGTAACATTTTACTTTTGTTGTAATTTTGAGGATGATTTGGCTGCACAAACAACACATGACGCAGCAATACAAGGATAAGAGGATGAATTACAATACCTTTAGTTTTTCATTGAATGACCCTTGCCAAGCGCCAGGGACATGGTAAGAATATATACCATCATCAATGAAGATAGGTTTTTCTGCGCGGCTACCATAGGTGGCTTGCCAAGTGGATAAGGTGTGCAGATTATAGAAGAGGAGGTATTTCAGCAAACCGGATTTCCTGATTGCTTCGTCTTGGTAAGAATTCCAGTGCTCTATGATGTGATACTCATGAGAAACTATAATTTCTGGATGAGCATCCAGAATAGCCCCTACAAGACTGTGAGAACTTCGAGGGTACCCGATGAACATAACAAAGGTCTGAACATCATTGTAGAGATCATACAGTTTGGCTAAGCTGTCAGGAACTCCTCCGGGAAGACACGGAGAGTCTCGAGATTCTTTAAGAGAAAAAAATCCTTTCTTAACGAGAAAAGTACTCTGTCTAGGAATATAATGCTATGTTACATCAGTATATTTTGATATCTTGATTTGGTAATCATTCGAGCTTGATACTGCCTCTGCGCCTTTAAAAGTTCAACCTGCCTAAGCATATCAAAAAGAACCTGGTGGAAAAACAAGACCTTCCGGCTGACTTTCGTGCCTCTTTCCCCTGCATTTTTTGCCTTTCGCAGATAAGCGTGCGAGCAAATTTTCCTGCCAAGCAGAATCTAACGCATGTTTGATTTTGTCAGCCACTTTTACTTTTAAACCGGACGTCATCCATACATGTATTTTACATTTATTTTTATCACGAAACCAATTTCTAAAGACCAAGTTATTCCCATATGTACCCCACTGACTGGACCTTTCGATTTGACATCTGGCTACAATGAATCGCTATTACCCCCACTAATTCAAATTACTTACCCAAGGAGGATTTATAGCTAGGGAGGTCTTTTAGAAGCGGTGATGTCCCGTTATCGTTTTCATCTGATCTGTTCCAAATATACCAACCAGCGATGAGTAATAAAATAATTAAGACTACAAAGGTGCCTCTAGACCATTTTGAATACTTAAGGTGAAATTTCATTCTTGTATCGTGCATATCTGTTGAAAATAAAAAGAAAAAAAAAACCGCTTTTTTTCAAGATAAAAAGTGGATGCGCCGCATTCCTGGTACACTGTATAGGGGAATCCTTGTTTACATAAGCAATTCAGTTTTTGATGGAGCTAAAAATAAATCAGTTCTGAATATCGAAAGCTCAAAGTACGATTAACTCGGCCAATGAATACGAGCCTGATGCATTGAATACTTTTTGTGTAACATGGGTTTAAAAACTCAAAATTTTTACATAGAATGTATGAGCTCATTAGCGCTTTTGCC